CCAAAAGCAACACTCACATGGAGCAGGATTCATCTTCACTGTGTGTTTGAGCAGTGGTTCCAAACAGGTGTTCAACTCATTTCTTTATATGTTTCTAGGAAAACGGGAAATAGGTGGAGCGACTTATTGAAAAATGTGCAAATATACATGGAAACACAGCATACTAGGCAATTCTAACATGTTTGAAAGCCAATATTTGGTATGGTCAAAGGAGCTTGCAAAGAAAAACGTCTGGACTTCTTTAAATTGCTTGAAGACGTTTCACCTCTCATCTGAGAAGCTTCTTCAGTTCTGACTACAATGACCTGGATGACTGAGAACCTTCACAGAAATATTTGGTATGATCACCTTTAGTCTCCCACTAGATGTAGATGACCAACTTCTTTAGTACATTAGCAAGGAAAGCTGCGTCGATGATGGAGCGGGGATGTCAGTGCTAACCATCTAATAAAACAGTCACGCTGACCAGATGACGGCTCAGCAGCAATTTCAGATTAGCATCTGTGACAATGACTGAATGTAATATGTTCAGCCAGCTGTTTTGCTTTAAAAAAAAATCAAGAAGCAGGCCTGTTTTCTTTAAAAATTCAGAGATACGTGGTCCTCACAGGACAGCCCCTACAAATGTAAGTAACGGAATATAGAGTACTTAAAACGAGATCCACCTTTAACATATGCAGCAGTTAAACACCTGCAGCAAATGTTTTCTCAAAATCCTGGACTCCGTTTTGTACTCACCTTGAGAAAGCTCACGTTGTATAAACATGTACCATGGCACTGCAATTTCCCTGTTTATTACATATTCATGACATTTAATTCATTATGGATACTGGTAGTTTCTAATTTTAATGGGTTTTTTTTCTTTTTTTCTTTTGTCTTTATTGATTATTATTATTGTGCTATTTCTTGTCCTATCATCTCAGCGCCTGAGCTGTATTTGTTTGTTGATGGGGTTTTCTATGCTGAAAAAATTAAAATAAAATATTGAAAAAAACAAACCCCCATATGCAGCAGTTACAGTAAAACATTTAAATAAATAAATAATTTAACAGTGATGAGGAAGATTGTTCTGCAGAATTATTATTATTATTATTTTTAATCTATGCACAAATTTTCCAATAAATAAATCCAAAGTTTCACTGATTAATTTTTGTTGAAATGCTGAGTGACATACAGATGTGTAGTGTTCAATATAGAGTTATAGTTATGGAAGGAAAAATTCACCAAAAATGTTCCAAAACAGTTTCCTCTCGCTTTTTGTTTATGTATATCAGCTCTTAACTAAATCATAAACTATGGTTTAAAGAAACAACTAAAAGCAAAATTTAATGTAATTTCATCATTTAGATGTAATCGTCTTTATACATGTTACTACGCAATAATAAATAATATCATCAATAAAATAAAATCATCAATCATTGCAAAGAATATTGGGACGTTGATAAGGTTTTTTCTTAGATTTAAGTATTGGAGAGCCAAACGTGAACACTGCACTGCATGTTCTGGCGTCTTAAAAATATAAAGAGGTTGAAAACTGCCAAAATAATAATAATAATAATAATGAAAAACAAAGAATCAATGCTATTAAATGCATAAAAAATAAAAATAAATAAATGTAAACAAGAGTTATTCTATATGTCTCAGTTTTCTTTCTTTCTTTTATCTGCATCTGTATTGATTATTTCATTTATTAATTCTGAGTGATTTATTTGTTTATTTCCTTGTTTATTTAATTGTTTACATTTTTCAATTTTGGCAGCTTTGGTATTCCATAAGAAAATACAAGACGCACCTCATCAAACAACATAAACATGCCTTGTCAGATTGCTTAACATGATTCTGAAATTTTTGTGGTTTGCAGGTAAAATTATTTTTACATTGTTCATGTTGGAGGGAATGCAGACTCTGACTCAGATTCTGGTTTGGAGCAGGTCTGGGATCTGTAACAGAACTGACACCTGATTGGTTTACACTAATGATCTAACTCTATGCTGTCTTTAATTCATCTGTAAAACTAAATGAACATTAAAAGTCGTCCCAGGATAACAGAAAATAATAATGTGCCTTTTAAGCAACAATAATCCAGAATTAATGCTCCTTTAATATTCTCCTGTCTTCATTACATTTTGGCTTTTTTATGCTATAGAATAAACCCATTGTCCCCATAAACTTTGTTACATACATGTGTTGCTGGTGTTAAAAGTATAAGACATGTGATCATTTAACATGTGTACCACTAGATGGCAGCACAGTTTCTCATTGGAGTACCAGCAGTTTTCTGTAGTCAGAGGAAACGTTTGCAAACACACACACAAAAAAATCAAACTGCTGTTCTTTTTCTTCACGACAGTCCAAATCTAAGCTGCTTTTTTTCAGGAAAAAATGTAAGCTTAGCAAAGTAAGTATTTTAATTCACATAAAAAATCTTATCCTCCATTCAAAACTTCTAACAAACACTCAGACTGACATTGTGTTAGTGACACATCTTTTCAAAGCTCAAAAAGAGTCCCCCAACCTGTTGATCTTAATTTTCATAGTCTAAAGTTTTTACGTATCATGGTCAGTATTGTGACAGCCCTATATGTGATGGACTCAACTCGACTAAATAAGAAGCATTAACAGTCCATTGTTACTTTAAGATGTAAAGGTTAATTTGTTTGGGTAAATTAAAAGCTTCCTCGAGCGCAGCTGGAAAAACCATCGAACGCTCTGATGAAAGTGGCTCCCTCAGAGGGCTGCCTCCGGAAAAGAGCATCAAGAACTGGAGTTCATCAGAGTTACCAGCTTCAGAAAATCACCATCATCAATCCCCGACTAACAGCATCTAAGATTAGAGTCCACATCGAAGCCCAGAGTTCAAGCAGCAGATAGCTCTCAAGATCCATCCATCGGTCCATGTGCCCATTTTCTGCTGCTGTTAGGAGGAGATGGTGTGAATCAGGCCTTCATGGTAGCCAACTGCGGCCAAGGAACAACTACGGAGGGAGTCCAAGAAGCACAAGGAGTGGCCGTCAGAACAGTACAAACATGGATTATGATGAGTCCAAACCTACATCCAGGATGAGGGAGAACTGCATCAGGTGGCCTGGCCTCCACATCCACTAACAAGAGCACTTAGAGAGAGCAGAGAGCTTCCCCTGAAGTGCAAAGGCGATCTAGGATACACTGAAGAGATTACATCTGTCAGCTGCTTGGAAAAACCTCAGAGTCCCCCATATCTATCTATCTATCTATCTATCTATCTATCTATCTATCTATCTATCTATCTATCTAATTATACGAGAGCACAGCATCCCTCCAGATATAAATGACTATAAGTTTGCTTTGTCATGACTGACACTCATGCTTCAGTTTGACTGCAACAAAAAGCGCTCACATTGCATCTTTACAGCACCTGCTGCTGATCGGATATGATCTGATAACAACTCTCATTGTGAGCCTTCATTAAATCCCCGCGCCCCCGGCACAAATAATTCATCTAATTAGCCAGAAGAAGTGAAAGCAAGTGTGTGTGTGTGCAGCAGCAGTG